GCGCCGACCTGCCCGCCGGGACGGGGGCGCCGCTGGCCGTGCCCCTGGCATTGTCGATCGAACCGGGCCGCTTGTACCGGGCCTGCCCAGGGCAGGGACCCTCTGCCGGCCCCCAGGGTGCGGGCGGTGTGGGACACCGCCGGGGGTGGGAGCGGGCAGCGAGCTCGGGGTGCCCCGGGCCGGCCCTCCGCCTCTGCGGCCAACTGCCGGGCAGGGAGGTGAGGGGGAAAGGGGAGCCCACCACCGCTGTCACCGTGCCCAGAGGCCTGCCGTCAGCCTCCGACAAAGGTCTCCGGGTCTGCCCGTCCCGCTCTGCTTCCTGGGGGCTGGGAGACAGCCGCCTCACCCGCGCCTGCCAGCATGGAGCGTAAGGAGCGGGCCTGGCCAGGGTGGCCGAAGGCCCGGCTTGCTGTCTGCTGGGACGGTTGGGATCTGTCACTGTCTGCAGGGACTGTGAGGTCCTCGGGGAAACAATGAAGTAAATGCCCGGCTCTCCACAAAGCAGCGTAAGGCTGGTAAGCTCAGAAAAGTCGGTGACATCTTGTTGCTGCTGGGTGAGAGGCCGGTGGGGCTGGTGGCATGGGCCTGGCCAATGGCGGTCCTTCCAGGGCTTGTGGAGTACCACAGGACGAGAGGGCTTGTCGCAGTGCGCGTCTTACCTGTTTCACTGCTGGTTTTTTTCCGCAGAGCTTTGAAGGAGACAAAGAGGGCTTTATTTCACCTCCAAACCAAATGCTTCAGAGAGAAAGGTCATCCCTGCCATTTTCGCCTGCCACAGGAAAAGCAGAGGTAAGGTGGGGTGACCAGAGGTTATACGTGTAGCCGGTGGGCGGTGTGAGATGTTTTGTGCACAGCTACAGTTCATGGGATAGTGTGGGGGCTCTGGGCAAATGGAAGTTGGGGAACAGGGTTGATTTGGCACAGGGGGAGCAGAGGGAAATGTTGGGAAGGTGACAGACCAGTATGGGAAAAGGAAGAGAACCTGTAGTACCAAATGGAGAAAAACTTTCTCAGTAATATTTGGAGAGGAACACCAACTTCCTCATATGCTAGGAGCAGGCAGAGAGAGGCGAATCAAAAGACAGGACAAAACTACTATTTATCTGCTGTGTTTTAAACTGTGTCATCTGGGAAGTCTGACGATGACTGTTGATCTTGTGGTGAAGTCTTACTAATGATTCTGCTAGACTGATTATTGTTACTACCTCCATGCTTTGCAGGCATGGAGAGCCACAGTCCAAGTACTGTATGGAAGTAAATACTAGTTGTATGTGGACACCTTTGCTGAAGTGGCTAAGGAGCAGAGCTAGCTCTTTCCTTCTCAAAATCCAGATGTATCAAATAACAGACATTTAAGAGGTAATTATGTTTTTACAAAAATCTGCTTATTGTGGGTTTGTCAAGTTATATTCTATAGATGTTCTTAAGAAATGTAAGTTTTCTATGTAGGTAGTCATGTGATGAAACACACGTACCATCTCTGCATCCAGGTAATTATTAACTGGATGGATGCTGCATTTGGAAGGTGCCCATCTTCTATGATTTAACATCAAAGGTTCTATTAGTCTTTTAAAATGTGCTCGAGGAGGCAAACTCTTCTTCCGATGAATCTAAGTGGTGTCTACTATAGTTTTGCAATACATCCAAATTATTATTAATTCTTATGTATATTTTTATATGTAAATACTTATATCTATTTTTATTTATATTAGTATTTTTATATTATAAGTACAGTTCAGGAGCTATATCCAGCCTGCTTATATGGTTTGTATTGCAGGTTTGTATTGCTTTCATTAAAAAAAGAAAAAACAAATGTCAAGTTGTAGGTTTGAATACAAACATGTTGTCAGCAAGCGGGCTGAGTAGTGGTACAGCTTTTCTCCCATCAATGTGAGGGTGTTCACCGTGTTAATGGGGACCTTCCCATTCTCTCACCATAGATACCGTTTTGGAGCCTGCATCGTTTCTGAAGAAAATGTGGATTTAAGGCACACGTGCTTGATTAAGGTGTCTAAGAGAACATGGTAATTTAAAATGCTCTTTGCAATCCATTTGTTTTTGCAAAAATGTCTTTTGGGTGAGCCTGGGCCTTCCCATCTCTGAGTAGCAGAATGAATAAAGAAACAGTAAGGTATCATGAAGATATAAAAGGAGACAGTTTTATAACAGTGAGAGTATTCCTAAGCGTACTTCACAATTTATGAAATCATAAGTCACCTCTTCACAGATGGTTAGGTAGAGCTTTTCTAATGCTTGAGGGCCTCATTATTCTAAGAGTGCCTGATGTATATAAAAACATTTTTTTTAAACAGAACATTTCGTTGTGGTTGGAATTCAGATTTTGGTTGCAAAAGTGACTTCTTATTAGGACTCCTCAATATGAAATGCCTTGCAGTAAAGGAAACAAAGAAAATATCACAATTATGTGATTATCCCTAAGCCTGTTAAACAAATTGAGTCTCTGCAAATAAACCTGCTTTTACTTACCAATATATTGAGCTTGAATTTGTAGCCATACTGCAGAATCCAGTCTGTGGTGCATATACGTGTTGCACACTGTAGATAGGGGGGGGTTTATGTTCTTTTAAAGTAGTCTCAGACTTCTCAATTATATGGAGTTATTTCTCACTGCTGGGAATATTAGATAAAGTACTGGCAGACCAGTAGTAATGCAAGTCACTGGAAACTAACGGAAAAATTATTTCACCAGTGTCAGTGCAAAAGAACTCAGCTGAGGTTACATTCTGTTTGGATACTTCTTGTTCTCATTGGAGATGATTCAACCAGAGATGACTCAGTTGCGTACAGGCTACCAATGTCATGTCATATGCAACAATACCTCTTCACCTGCTCATGCTTGATGTTTCCCCTGAAAAACCTCTTTTTTAAATAAGTATTACTACTTATTTTAATACTCTTGAGAGCAGAGCTCTGCTGGTTTTGGGGTTTGTAGTTCTTTGGCAAGGTAGTTCTTTTTTTGGGTGGCACATGCAGTGAGTTAGTGTTTTGCTTGAATGTGAGTTAAGACACAGGTTGAAAGTGAGGCTCTTTTAATTGATAGGGCTTTTGGGAACTAACTTTTCTCCTTCTGCCAAATTAAATTGTCTAGATTAAATCAATTTAAATGGAGTGAGACAGTGAGATAATGTGCTAGCCTTTCTCTCTGAAAATCTCTCTGTCTCTGCTGTTTAGATTGATGGCACCAGGCCAGTCTCTAATGGATGTATTTGTCTACATTACAGAAGAACTTCCTGCAGTCTGGACTTTTCCTTCAGAGAGGTTGAGGATTTGGAAGGTACATTTTTGTACCCCAGGATGAAAACATGCTAGTAGAGCTATGCATAATATCTGTTTATATTCTGCGCAGGAATTTATTGTGATTATAATAACCAGATTGATATCTATGTTTTCGGTGACTACTTGGATGAAATAAAGAATGAAGTGTTAGCAGCTCAACATGATCTCTGCTTTTGAGGAGGGCTAAAGAGATGTTTAAAATCATCTTCTGATTCCAGGCTTTATTACAGAAAGCAAGCATTCTGTGCATTGGATACCAAACCGCATAGTGTGACTGAAGTCCAAACTATGCTTCTCCCAAGTTTAATCAGTGTCTTGTATGTAGTATCATACGTGCTTCTGTTTGCTGTCATTTTCCATCATGAATTTTCTGGTTGTCTGTGCTCCCAGCTGCGTGCAATACCTCCCTCTTGCTGATTTGCTAGTAGCACCATGTAATCAGCTCATGCAGTATTTCTTTAAATCCCATTTTCAGGCATTTCCTGGTCTGTGCATCCTGCTCCGTGACTGCACGTCTACTCCTGCTCTAGATACATTCATTTGTCTTCTGATGGGTTACAAACTTCCTAGTCATTAACCTATTGTCTAATTACTTACCTGTCACATCTGCAAGTGTCTTTTTACTCCATCACTCATTGCTACTGTGGAAGACACAATACTGGCCTGGATGGACAAATATGCATGCCCAGTAGGCTATTATTCCTTATGTACCTACCTCAGTTGCACTGTCTGTACTACCCTGCTTTAGCTTACATAATGGGTTGTAAAGGAGACCACAAGGAGGTCAGAAGTACATGTTGTCAGTGAAATGAGACATTTATTTTCCAAACACATCATTCTTTCCTCAAATGTTTCTATTCCACTGGAAGTGTTATAATCCAGGCTTTCCTCTATGAGTAAATATATGAATGTTCAGCCATATGGTATCTGCAATTGTTAGCATGTAATAAATTATTGAAACCAGATAAAATACTCTCAAATATGATCCGTTAGAGCTTGGCCAATTTCACTGAAGTCTGCAGGTTAGCAGGACCACAAGTTTATTTGTTCTTGTGGTAGTGGAAGCTGGAGCAAAGAGATTAAGGATAAACTTCTGGGTTTATGCTATACTGCAACTGTAATGACTGCAAGAGTCTGAGTGTGGTATGAATAGACATAAAACTGGATTTTGCCCCAAAATACTGGAAAAAAATAATTGAGTGGTCCATCTGCTATAAATTGGTTCCCTTAATCATTTGTCTGTGTACTTGCAGAGAGGGAAGTCTAGCAACCAGAATCTGCATGTATTTCTGGGGGGAATTTAGGTGTTTAGCCTGGACCCTACTAAGAGATTTCCAAGTAATTTTCAGATCGGCTCTGTGTTGTTTGTTTTCTAATGCATAATAAGATTTCATTGTTACTTACATCGTTGGATTTAGGGCTATAATCTGTTAATCCCTAAAATGTCATCAGATAATCTGTTTAATCATAAGCAAAAGCTGATCTTGATAGTCAATATGAGTTATGCAGAATAGTTCAGGCAATACTACTATGCAAGTATAGAAACTTTCAGCAGATCTGTTTTGCATTAGTCTACAATTAAAAGTAGGTTTTTGTTGGGGTTTCAATTCAGATATCTTTGTCCTGGGGCATAATTGAAATCTTTCATGGAGTCTGATACTACATTTTGGCATTGTAAAATGTCTTAATTTTGAAGCTAGTGTCTCCGAATATTTATGATGCGAGGTACTCAGTAGTGGCTTCACGATTAATTTTAAATTATTGATAGCACGATTATCTAGAAAGGCCCAAATACTAATGTCACAACGCTCTCCAGTGTTCACTATCCATAGAGTTACATGACAAAAGTCCAGTGGTGTTCTTTAATATTTTGTTAGACTTAGAAGGCAGCCAGTAACTCCTGTGAGTTCCGTTCATGGCTTCTTGGTAGGAACCTGCTCTTACCAGCAGAGGGCATAGGTGACCTGGTTTAATCTGTGGGACACACAGCAGCAAGATTGAGCGAGAATCCCTCATAGCTAATTTGGGGGGGAAAAATAACCCTATGTATCCTGTGTAGAACGAATTAGTATACCAACTAGTAACGTTACCTCTGGGCTTAACTGCTGTGTGATACTTGGCTTGTAAAAGCTTTGGTTGCTACACATGACAGCCCATCATCTTAGCAGTTCACTTGTCCCACTTGGTTCTCAAATGATGTTATTTGAAGCTACAGGACTGGTTTGAGTTTATGAAGACATTGACTTAGCCCTGTGGCTATCACATTCCACATGATATTTGCATCTTTGCAACAACTAAACCCCAATGAATTTAGGAAGGGTCTTGTATTCAAAGACTGGCCCTTCTTGACAACTAACTGAATTCTGGTGTGGTTCCCAAAGAGGTGAGAGTGACCATGTACATCACCATTGCATTATCTTACCTGTAGGTGAGGGTAGAGGGAGTCATCTGAACACTTCTCATGCTCAGAAGCTGTACTCTGAGCCAAACTGCATTTCCAGAAAAAGTATGTACAACTTGATCCTTCATAATTCTTTCTGAGTCATCAGCCCTGTAGGAACAAGTGTCTGCACTTGGATGAAGCCTTTAAGGAACTGACCTGGAGGCACTACTGACAACAAGCAAAGAAAATGAAGTCTGTAGTAGACCCAGGGTCATCTAGAAATGTTTCTACTGCTCGTCCCTGTTCTTTTGCCGCAGGCTGTTTTGGACTCGTTTGACATTCAGTTGTAAAATGCTGAAGTAAGCAGACCTGTGTTTGTAATATGCCTAATATAATGGAACCTGTTCCTGACTAGATCTTGGAGTGGTGCTGTAATGCACTGTCTTTGATTCCTGGCTGGCAGCTCATGTGCTAAGCGAAGTATTTCCACCCATTTAGTTTCTCTGGGTTTATGTTCAGAAGCTGTTATCCCTCGCCTCTGGGTCTCCCAGGAATTCCCAGGTGGTGTCATATTGAGCTGTTATTCATACCTGGGGTGCTTGATTGCTGCATCAGACATGCAGTCTGCATTTCCTTCTTCCTCTCTAGCAGTAACAACCAGGCAGCAGAAAGCCAATAGTTATATTTGGCATTACATGTACAGCATACGCTGAAATTCTGTGTTCAGACATAGAAATCTTGTACTAACATTAATCGGTTTCCATGAGCTGTTGCAAAACAGTTCATCCCAGTGCTAGATCATAGCCCGCAGAGGGCAGCCTGACCTCGTGTTTTACTCCAGCAATGTGCTTAACTGGAGAATTCAGTCATCTGCTGGCATCTATCAGTGTGACTTGCTGTGGAATAAACAACTGAATGTTGTGGAGAATTAGCATCAGCCCTAAACTCAAACAGATTCAAAAGTGGACTGAAAAAAATAATCATGTGACTAAATTAAACCTTCTGTGGTGTTTTTTTTTTTAACTTATTGAAAGAAAAAAATTGCAGGAGAAAACTCAGCTAGACCTGAGCTTTAAATACCTCGCATGTGCAACAGATAAGTTTATTGGTAGATGTCAACAGGCAAGAGAAAGAAAATATCCAGAATATGTGTACCTGAATGTACTGGGCAAGACTAACAGGAGAAGAAAAGTGTCGCGGTTTAACCCCAGCCAGCAACCAAGCCCCACGCAGCCGCTCACTCACTCCCTTGCAGTGGGATGTGGGAGAGAGTCAGAAGGGTAAAACTGAGAAAACTCATGGGCTGAGATAAAGACTGTTTAATAGATAAAGCAAAAGCCATGCACACAAGCAAAGCAAACCAAGGAATCCATTCACCACTTCCCATCGGCAGGCAGGTGTTCGGCCATCTCCAGGAAAGCGGGGCTCCATCACGCGTAACGGTTACTTGGGAGGACAAATGCCATCACTCCGAACACGTTCCCCCCTTCCTTCTTCTTCCCCCAGCTGTATATGCTGAGCATGACATCATATGTATGGAATATCCCTGTAGTCAGTTGGGGTCAGCTGTCCCAGCTGTGTCCCCTCCCAACTTCTTGTGTCCCCCCAGCCTCCTCGCTGGTGGGGTGAGAAGCAGAAAAGGCCTTGACTCTGGGTAAGCACTGCTCAGCAATAATGAAAACATCCCTGTCTTGCCAACACTGTTTTCAGTGCAAATCCAAAACATAGCCCCATACCAACTACTATGAAGAAATTAACTCTATCCCAGCCAAAACCAGCACAAAAATGTTTTTCTTTTTTTCCAAATCTCTTCAGCAATCTTTCAAGATTCGTGTTACTGTTACTGTGACTGTAAGACTGTGCCTTTGGCTGGTTGGCCCATGTTCTTTCCCAACTGTGTCCTGAGTCCTTGTGAAACAGCCATCACAATTTCAAGGAGACTTTGTCCAAGAGAATGTGTCTACACGTAGGCATGTGCCTTAGCTCTAAAACTGATCACTGCCAGGTTTCGGATGAGGGGTTGCTATCTTGATTTAGTATGATTAAGGATCAAGGCATTCAGTTCCTGAAAAAGAGCCAGTACTTTGTGTCTCTCAAATCAAACTGTGTCCACCAGCTAATTAAGGAATGATCTTGATATGCTGTGAAGGGAGGCCTGTCCACTTGTATACTTCTCAGCCAGAGGGCCCTGCAATACAGTGTTTGGAAGAGAAAATACGTATAAAGCAAATAGCATTTGAGCAATTAAGACAGCCTCAACAATGTGTGAATTCCAGGAGTACGGGGAGAAACCTAAGTATCTCTTATGATCAAATGTCAAATTACTCACTGATGCGCTTTCACATTGATTTAGATAATTAATTTCTTTGGCCCCAAACTTTCTACCCCACATAAGCACGGCTGTTCACAGCAGAATGTATACGCTTCTGAGAGTCTGGCTGATTGTAATTGCAACTACAGGTGAATTTTTTCTTCTGATTCCTAAAACTTTCTCCATGTATCGGAGTGCTGAGAGATTTTGACTCTGTTTTATTTAGAATATTCTTTGCTATTCTTGCCATGTTATTCATAAACACCTTTGCTAATGTGAACTTTGACCAAGGAAGTATCTGTCATGTTTTACCTTGATAGCATGATGTAAAAGTTACTCTGTGTAAAAATGCTTGTACATTTAACCAACTCTGATTGCATAATTTAATTCAGTTTGGCCACAGCAAATTCTTTAGGGTAAAGGGTAAAGTAGGGCACACAGTGAGGTAATGCCCTTACTTGATGCAGATCTAAAAACTCTGGTTTATAATTAACAACAAAGGCAGTTTGTGGGATTGTCTCTGTATCTCCTGAAGGCATGCACTGAATACAAAACTAGAAGAAAAAAAGATTTTGGAGTCGAGATTCGCAGCTCTTATTCATGGTACATACTTCATATGTGAGCTCGTGAGAACCTGATGCAAAACCTGATTTAAGTTTCTGACTCTGAGCTCTTTGTTGGGATCTTCCTGCTAAGGATACACACATAGGGGTGATGCTGAAGTTCTTCAGCAGTAAATGCTGGCCAACATTTTGCTGATCTTTCCAAACCTGACTCACAGAAATGAATTTGTCATTTTGGCCCTTGTGTCCTAATTTCCCATAGATAGGTTAGCCATTTTGATGCAAGAACAATATAGACTGCATATTAACAACCTTATTAGGGGGCTTTTCCTTAGCTGCCAGGATTGCCAATATTTCTTGGTTATATAAAACCTATAGCATTTATGTGATAGCATGATCTTACATAATCCATGAAAAAATGTTTGGGTTCTTCAGTCCAGTAGTCAGTACTGACTTAGGATAACGTAGGTTCAATGTTATTTTTTTTTCCCATAAAAGTGCATATACCACGGACAGTATG